ACACAGGCCTAATGGATATTACTGGACCTCAGTTTTGGCCAAACCCCATTTTGAATGGGGTCTATTAAAATTCTAGCAACATTGTATGGTAGGTATAGTCCTTTTGATCTTAATCACAGATTCTGCACTACAGCCCTCATGCTGCTATGGAAATATACCAGTAGCTATAATGTTATCACTTTTGTAACAGAGATATTATAGGGCTTAATTCTCCTTTCACTATTTATTTGTATATGTATTATCCTATTTCCTGGATTTCAGAATTCCTTTATGTGATAGTAGCTTCACTTTCTTTCTGTTCTGCTCAAAGAACTGCCTTCTGCATAGACTGAGTCTGCGATGCATTTGAGTATGGTTTTCAAATATGGCCTGGAAATATGTTATAGTGTACAGTGAAGGTTTTAAGGGATAAATATAGATTTGACACATTCTGCTAGGATAAAGCAATACAAATGTGGTTTCAGATTTCACAAAATGCTCTGTGCTGGAGGAGTTTTTGTGAGCTTTAGACTGACAAAAGCTTTTGTTAAAGTTTTGGATGCTGTATATTGGAATCCATGTATATGTCTTTGCATTCAGTGTATTTTGCCTTCTGTGAATATAGGTTTGTGAAATGCTTATACAGTAACCCCTGAAAATGTACTTAGACTGTCTATATATTTATTAGGCTTTGTCTCTTGTTTACTATATAGGGCCACAAATGGAAGTATATTTTTGTAAGTGTTATTATATGTCTTTTAATATTTGTTTAACACTCTCGCGTAGGATTCTTTTAAAGGATTCCTTTAGTTTTTGTGATGTCCATTTATCATTTTAATCTTTATCCATTATATATCCAGGCTTCTTAGTGTTTCTGCTTCGTTATAACAAAAACACTTTGCTAGTTTTTGTACTCTTCAGGAGATACACTTGAGTGAAAGATTTACCTTTGGGAAATCTTTGGGAAAAGATGTTAAATTAGCAGTGATGATTATTCTTCAAAGGAAGAAATTAATGTAGTTCTGCCCTCACTCATGCTTGTTGCTGGACATTACATATTTTTAATTTTTAGCATTAGCTTTAGCGATCTTGGTTAAAAAGAACTGACGGCTGGAGGCTAGGTTCTGTTTTAAAAACGTATTGCCAGAAGTGCTTTGTAGTGCCCTCATGTGGGAGTTCTAAACATATCATTACAATCCTGATTTTTTTTTTTTTAACAGAGGGAGGTAGTTAGCTGTGTTAGGCTAATGTTACTAGACCATACTAAGGCCACTTAAAATGTGAGCATCTGTACTATAAAGCTCATTAACATGCTAAATTGCCTCTGAGCATCTCAGCTATGCCACCATAGGCAAGGATTAACTCTGAGCAGTGTTTGCTACCTAGCTTGTTACTTCAGTCTGGTCCACAAAGATGAAATGAGCAATTTTCATTCCTCTAGCATCCCAGGATGCACTACTCCCCCTGAGAAGGGATATAGAATCCAGGTGTCCTGGCTCCTAGCCATACACCTGCTTGCCAGCCCTCTAGTGGCAAGTAAGAGCTGTGCAGTCAAGAAATGGTATTAACCCTTAATGTGAGACTGCTCACAGCATGTTTGAACTTTAAAACTGCTTAACATTCCACAGCTTTAGTATGGTCTAAGTGAAATATGTGTCTTTTGGTCTGAGGGGCTATTTTTTACAATACTCTTTGAGCCCATCTTACATTCATATATAGACATATATAAATCTGTGTTAAATTACATTTGAGGAATCTTTAATTTCTGTTTTCATTTGATTTAAAAAGTCAAGAAATTGTTCAAATAGAAGCTGTGGAGCAAATTCAGCTCACCTTATCCACGAGAATGGTTTTTATCTTTTGTCTTTTTCTGGTGCACTTACAAACTGAATTCTGAATTACTCCTCGTACATAAAAATTATCCCCTTTTCACTGGAAACTTGAAACAAGAAAGCAGAGTCATATTGCTGCATTCCTCACAGCTCTTGGTTTAACTTGAATTCCTAGTGTTATTCATACCATTTCTATCGCCACATATTTAATCTTTGATCTGTTCAATCCCCAATTAATGGGTAAATAATAAAATGAAAGAAGTACATAACAAAATTGTTATAAGCATTTGGTCAGCACAAGCACTGCTAGAGCTATGTAGTGCATGGAAATACAGTGCTTTGTTTTCACGGTTGTAAAGGCCATAGACTTTAAAAGTGATAGTGAAAACACATTGCTACTTCAGCACATTTTTCTGTGATTATTACAAATTACAAATTATTTTATATAATGAATATCAGAGCAACTAAAAAATCATACAGCATGGATAGACTTTAATTTTGGATACAAATAACAGACATTAGACAAGCTTAGACGTCTAATAGACTAGCAGAATCTTAATGTTTGACAAGTACAAGACAAAATGAGAACTTATAATCTTGTAGATTTTTTTTCCCTATACGGTACAGTGAACATTACATAAACTAATACACATGAAGCATACACATTAGAATAAAATTTAAAAGTCTGCAAGAATGCAACTTATTTAGGCAAAAGTATTTAAGGACTATAAAATAAATACAGTCCACAAGAACTAGTATATTAAATACAATACACTAGGAGAGTCTGAGTTGCTCTGGGAATTGGTAATGAGCAGGGACCTGGGTTTTCCATTCACCATGGAAAAATGCGGTAAAACCTGGATTTTTTTCATTTTAAAGAGAAAAACCTAGATTTTCTCCTTTAAAGGAGAAAAACATGAGAAACAGTGGGTTTCCCCTTACAGGCTGGCAGAGTTCCAGTCTGTAAGGGGCTGGAGGGAGCAGGAAGTAGGTGATCAGCAGTGGGTGTCATGTGCATGTACATGGCTGCCAGGCAGCTTGGAGAGCAGCTTCCCACAGGTAAGTCTAGTGGATGGCAGGGAGGGCAGGGGAATTGAGGCCCCCATGATGGGAGAGTTGGGCAGCGCATGGGGCTTAGGGCCTGGAGCTGGAATGCATGGCCACAGGGCTTGGGTGGAGAGCAGGATGAGCCAACAGGTGGCTTGTCCAGGGGGCAAGGGGGGCTGGCTCCCTGCTACTGTACGCACTCCTGGGGGGGAACAGTGCTGCCCACTGCAGGCTTGGGGCTTCTCACCCTGCTACCCTCCATCTGGGGTTTCCATGGCCCAGTGGGCAGTACCCAGTGCAGCAGGACAGAGCAGGGCAGGGAAGCCTGATGCTGCTGCCAGGAGACCTGTAGTGCCATGGTGAAGTGCCCCCTGCCCGCCCAGCAGCAGCGGGGGTGGCAGTGTGGAGTTGTGCCCAGGGGGGACCTTGCCATGATGGTACAGAGCTCCCAGTGGTGGCACTGAGCTTCCCCTCCCAGCCCTGCTCTGCCTGGCCATGCCAGGTCCTGCCCATGGGGCTGTGGAGGCTCCAGGGGGCAGCAGAGCGGGGAGCCCCAAACTCACAGTGAGCAGCCCATGCCCCCCGACAGACTCCACTCCATTGTGTTGCCTGTGGGAGAGGGAGAACTAGACTCCACGCTCAACTCTGCTATGGCAGCTGGGGCTTGGATGCTGCTGCAGGAGGCTGCAGACCCAGTTCCCTAGACCTGTATCCCTGGAAGCTGAGAGCCACCTCTGTCAGGGCTGTGGGTGGGGAGTGAGGTGTACCAGCAGGGCCCAGGGGGCTGTGGTTGGGGAGTGAGGGGTACTAACAGGGCTAGGAGGCTATGAGTGGGGAGTGAGGGGCACCACTAAGGCCCAGGGGCCTGTGGGTGGGGAGTGAGGGGCACCAGCAGGGGTAGGGGTCTGTGGGTCAGGAGTGAGGGGCAATAGCATGGGCAGGGCACTGGCATATCAGGGCTGCTTAGTGTCACAAAGCTGTGTGTGTGTGTGCGTGTGTGTGTGTGTGTGTGTGTGTGTGTTGCTGGGGGGGGGGGTAGCCGCAGCTAGATCTGTGTCCTGGTGAGTGAAGGGGGCAGCGGAGCTCTCTTATAAAAAAAACCCCAAATCAAACACTGATTTTGATTCGGATTTGGAGATTCGGCCAATGAATTGGGCTCAGTTTCCACCAGATTGAATCAGCAACTGAAGCTTTGCACAGCCCTAGTAGGATTCCAAGTTGCTTTTAAATTGTAAACATATCAATAAAACATTGTGTTCAGTTAACACCTATTTGTAATTTCCCGTGCCTTTCACCTGTACGTCGAGTCTGTGTGGTCTTTTCTGGCTTTGCCGTTGCTTTAAGGAAGAAACAAGCTTCTTAATGGGTTGGACCTTGGTCAGTATTCCAGGAGGATCTCTCCTGCCACGTCGTTGCTGGAAAATTATTTTTAATGGAGAGGAAGATGGTTTATCCCATCCCTCCTGGTGCCTTCCTTCAGTCATCCCTGTTGTCCTTCCTGCTTGGGGCTCCACCTCCCCTACACCCCTCCTAATGCCAACCAAAGATGTTGTTTCCTGGGCCACCAACATTGGTATTACATGCACTTTGACATCTTGGCCCTTTGAATTTATGGCGGTGGGACCAGAAGTTATCTGACTTGATTATTCCCTACCGCACTTTTCCTTATTTCAGCATTTTGCCGATCCCAGACTGTTCTGTCCCCCAGCATCCCACTCCCAACTCGAGTTTTATACCTGCCATGAGCCAGTTATTCATTGGTCCTTGCCTTATATGGTCCTGCTGGGATCCAGTCTATGCCGTGGATATCTGATGTCCACGGCATCTCCCTAGGTAGGTTATGGAGCCGTCTCTGGCTGTGACTATTCAAGAAAGCCCCTTCCTGGGGCATCCACCACATCCCTGCACTGGGACTGTGTTCAGGATCTGGCCCCTCTGGGCCAGTTGGGGACCTCACTTCCGGTCCTACTGGCTGATTTCCTGCCGGGCTTTTTATCCCGGCTTTGGGGGTCTGGGCAGTGAATTGGCCCTGGCACACTGCTATAAAGCATGCCCATGCCAACATGGGAGCTGGTCCTGGCTTCTCCTGATTCAGCAGTTTTAAAAAAAAATTTCTTTGCAACGGCATTCCCATCCACCGCGGTTTCATTTTCTCCATGCTCCAGTTCTGGTGTGGTGTCCCACTGGCTCCTCTCCTCGTCTGGCTTTGGTAAATCTTTTCCACATTATATCATAGAATCATAGAAAGTTAGGGTAGGACAGGACCTCAGGAGATCATCTAGTCCAATCCCCTGCTCAAAGTAGGACCACCCCCACCTAGATCATTCCAGCCAAAGCTTTGTCTAGCCAGGTTTTGAAAACCTTCAAGGATGGAGCTTCCACCACCTCTCTGGGTAACCTTTTCCAGTGTTTTACTGCCTTCCTAGTGTGAAACTTCTTCCTAATATCTAACCTAAACTTCCCTTGCTGCAACTTGAGACCGTTGCTCCTTGTTCTGTCATCTAAGTCCCCCTTCAGTCTTCTCTTCTCTAGACTAAATAAGCCCAGTTCCCTCAGTCTTTCCTCATAAGCCATGCCTCCCAGCCTCTTCACTATTTTTGTCACCCTCCGCTGGACTCTCCAATCTGTCCACATCCTTTTTATAGTGAGGGGCCCAAAACTGAACTCAGTTCTCCAGATGTGGCCTCACCAATGCTGAATAGAGGGGAGTACTAATTTCCCTGACCTACTGGCAACATACCTACCAATGCAGCCCAGTATGCCATTAGCCTTCTTGGCAACAAGGGCACACTGCCAGCTCATATTCAGCTTATTGTCTACTGTAACCCCCAGGTCCTTTTCTGCAGAGCTACTGCCCAACCAGTCAACCCCCAGCCTGTACTGGTGCAGGGAAAAAACATGTTTTTTGGGTTCTTTAATTAGAGAATTTGTATTTTTTTTCCCTTTTAATCAGAGAATATGTGTTTTTTAAACAGACAAAACCAGAATCCCTGGTAATGAGATTCTTTCACTTTTTGTTCACCATTTTGAGTATTGTTACCATTCAACATACTGTGAAATGAGCTTATCTCAATCCGCTTTGTAATAGACAAAGGTAATTTAAAGAAACAACTGCTATGATCACTAGCACTAAGTTGTCAATAAAGTACACAATTTGAAGGCATTGCTTGATAATGAAGGTGCTCCAAGATCAATCTGTACAGGATAAAACTATTTTTTCCAGTTTCTTTTTTTCTCTGGGGAAAGGTGAGGGATAGGGTGGGTGAGGGCAAAGAAGGATTAGCATGTATGTTCATAAAACAACTGTGTTAAACTAAGCTACCTACACAGAGTCCAAATAAGGCTGTGCAGGAAGAGTTCAGTAGGTGCACCCAGTGATAGTTACAGTTAGTCCAACATGTAGAAGAACCTTTTGCAAATCTCATGAAGATTCAGTGGAATAAAAACCCCCGCAGGTTATGTCATCTTACAGACTGGGAGGAACAGCAGCAGTGGCATTATTTTGCAGCCTTATCACTTATGGGGTGAGTGAATTCTGTTCCCCTCTGCTGACTTAGCTCTTTGCAGAAGACTCTAATTACTCAGGCTTTTCATGAGAATGGATTTCACCAACTGTTATGACTAACTGGTAAATAACTGAGGATGCAAAGATCTTATTCTGCAAACCTCATTCACTTTATATAAGACCTTATCACAGAGCAGTCCCGACAGTCTTAGTAAAACTGTATTTGGAGTAAGGTCGCTCTATTAGGATTGTGAGACAAGGGAGCAATGTCTGTTCACCAGATTGCCTCAAGGGATAACAAGGACCAACGGTCATAAACTCCTCCATGACTGTTTTAGGCTAGACATAAAGAAAAACTTTACTGTCCGAACCCCCAAGGCCTGGAATAGACTCCCTCCAGAAGTGGTGTAGGCACGTACTCTGGACTCATTCAAGAAATGATTGGATGCTTATCTTGCTGGGATCCTTTTACCCTTGCTGACTTCCTGCCCTTGGGGCAGGGGGCTGGACTTGATGATCTTCAAAGTCCCTTCCAGCCCTAATATCTATGAAAATTGGGTTCTAAGTGATAAATTATTTAGTCACAAAGATGTTCTTGCAAGAATGCAAGTGTCCCTAAATTCAGGTTCTCGTAATTCAGCTTTTCTTCAAAGAGTCAAAGTCAAAGGTCTGTCAAACTTCATCAGGCACAGAACATGTAATAGTTTACTCTCATGCAGCATTCCTGAAGGAGAGCTAATATTTAAAACAGTTTTCCTAGTTTTATTTTCTATTTTCAGCATTAAATTAAAGTGCCTATTTAATTTTCAACATTAAGAGGAATGTTGCTGTAGCATTTATGTAATATAATACAATTCAGAATTGTTAATATACATTTGGAGCATTTAAATTCCTCTTGCATACACTGAAGTAAATTTCATGTAATGGCAAGTAAATTTAAATTACAGACTGGCAATTAAAGGCTTTCATACATTTGAAAATATTTTAGCCCTGTTTTTTTCTCTCTTTGATTACTTGGGGGAGGAGAGGGGTTTCCCCCTTCTTTGATTATCCATGATCACAGAAGCAGGACTGTATGTTTATTATGGTATATTCTAAAGCGGTGATATCAAACTTATTTGGCCTCTTGGGCTGGATGGGTGGTACAGGGCTGGTCCATGAGCTAGATCAGGCCCACAGACGCCTCCCCTTACCCACTCTGCTTACATGCCTGATCCAGCTCATGCAGTACCCAACTGGTCTGATCTGGGATGCCAGCCTGAGCAAGCACCATGTATGGCACAGCCTGGGACTGGCTATAACAAACACTGCATGCAGTGTGGACCCAGCCCCCAGTGAGTGCCACAGACAGCACAGGGCTAATCCAGTGCAGTGTGTGGGTCAAGGGTCAGAACCAGGGGCCAGATTATGGGGTTCCATGGGCTGAATCTGACCTGTAGGCAAAATGTTTGACACCCCTGTTTTAAAGCATAATTGTGCTAAAATGACATATTTAGATATGTTTGACAATTTTTTCCCAACCCTACCACTGGGAAGAACTCCTGATCTAGTCACTAGGTCAAGGACAGTACAAACTTAGTATGGAAGGAAACTGAATACAGAAATCACTTTTGTAATAAGAGTAAGCTATTTAACCTATTTCTGAGTGAAGATGCTAGATTTACACACTACTATGTATCTGAGACAGGAGAGGTAAATGCCAGTGTTATTAAACATAGAATTCAGCACTTCCTTTCTTTAGCTGTATTTAACCTCTGCTCCTTTAATCATCTGCACAACAGGGAAAAGGGATGTGCTAAAATAATTTGTCATGTATGAAGCAATAGAATTTGTTAGCTAGAAGTCACACTGCCAGTTGGAAATAAACAATGAGGCCAAATTTTTTAATTTAAGTTAATTTTGAGTTACAAGTGTTCCTTTTAATTAGATTAATCAGGCAGGCTTCTGTGTCGCAAGCCTTAGGGCTAAAAGTGTAGTTTTGATCCTTTGATTAAATTTGTCAAAAATTCAAAATAGACAAAGTGGCTCACTATTAACATTTGCTTCATTTGTTTTAAATTTTACTTGGCTTTCTCTGGCTCCTGACTCAGCTTTGACTTTCTCTACCCCTGCCCCTGGATCTTCCCTGGAACTTGGAAGCTGGCTCTTTATATTCTCCTGGCTTCTGACTTCAGTTTGCACTCCAGATGACATTTCTAGGATCTCTCTCTCTCAGCTCTACTGGGACCTGGTCCCACATTCCCCTCTCTCCTGACCCAGGCCCTAACCTGATGCCTCTGTACCCCCATCTAGCTGACTTCTTGATTGCCCTTCAGGGTCTACCCACAGACCTGGCTACCTTCATCCTAGCTGAACTCTCACAATGCCAGGGAAAATCACCATGAAGATACCCCTCATCCTTTAGCTCCTGCTCCATCTGTACTGAATGCCAGAAATGTTGCAAAGCTGTTTTCAATGTATGCCCAGTCCCTTTTGACATGCTTATGAGAGTGGCACTGTTTATGCTCACTACCACTCTAATGGTGACTGCATGATATTTTTTCAGTGTATGTTACATGTGAAATGGCTGGAGTATGTTTTCATGTTGGTGCTCCTTAGTGCAGTCTGCTGTGATATAGTTCACAGCTGACTGCTGGATTGGTAGCCTTTGTGAACTGAGTTTGTGGTGTCATTCAAAGAAAGGAAGGATATGGGCAGCCCTTTTGCAGGAAAGCAAGGGATGGGCAAGTGATGGTGCACGGGAATGAAGAGAAAGAGGAATAAAGAGTTAGGAGTCTAGTAAATTTGCCTATTCTCTCTTACCTTGGAATCCTAAGGGGTGGTCTTATCCTTAGAATCATAGAAAAATAGGGCTGGAAGAAACCACAAGAGGACATAATCCAACCCTTTTTTCAAGGATCATCTTCATCTAAAATATCCAGGGGAATGTTTATCTAGGTCTTAAAGGTTAAAATAAACTGTCCCTAATTAACCTTTTTTATATGATCTCACCTGATTTTAGAAACTAGGAAGAATTGTGTTAATACTTGGTTGGAGAGCATCCAAGGAAAACCTTGGCACTGTAGGAACTGATTTGGTGAAGAAGCATATAGTGAACAAGTGCCCCAGTTCAGACCTAGCAGGCACTGCACAGCAATTTTTTTTCAAGATATAAAAATTATGTCCTCGTCACTTCCCATTAGCCCAAGGACATAAATTACACACGGAGGACTATGAACAGATATTATATTTGCCTTAGGAGGGACTGATTTCTCCTGGGACAGTGTGGTTGTTCCTCATGGCCTTGCTGATAAATTGCCATGCCGAACACTCTTCAGCCTTTGCAAATGTGCATTGCAATGCCATAGGTTTGTTTTAGGATTCATCACTACCTTCTCTTCCTCAGCTTCAAAGCAAGTACATTAAGCATTGAGAGTGGTGCCACTTGAGTCAATTCAGGCAATGAAGGTCTTCCTGCTTTTCTACTGAGTTGGTAACATGGGTTAATATAATGACTCACTTAAGACCTCGTGCCCCACCCCCCAACCCTTTACAGCACAGCTATAGAGACTGTGGCCCTCAGCTATAGAGACTAGCTTCATACCCAGAAGTCAAGATGGCATTGTCCATCACACTGAAGAATACACTGGCTTGTCCACCACTTTCCCAGCCTCCACCTCTGCATTCCAATCACATAGTCACTGATATGAAGGATAACTATTTTA